GAGCAATGGTTTTGCTAATACATGCATAACAGGTTGATACCCAAGTGCAATAAAATGCAATGTTTGGGGTGCTGTCATAATTCCCTCCCCCCCAATATTACTATTTTGTGTCATAATTTTTTTAATCACATGAGCATTTATTCCAATACTGTCGGCAGTATGAGAGAGCAGCAGGACATCCACAAAATTCTGCTCTGCAGCTCCCCATAAGCCAGCTGCGTATATAGGGTAAGACAGGGATTACATAAGGAAGTAAGAATTACAAGCATGGTGAAGTGGGAGGCTGGGATGGGATTCCATTATTTGGGCAACAAAGTTGTTAATCTCTCCATGATGATAGGCAGTTCTTTTTAAAAAATATTTATTTTTATTGAATTCAGAGAGGAAGGGAGAGAGATAGAAACATCAATGATGAGAATCATTGATTGGCTGCCTCCTGCACACCCCCTACTGGGGATCGAGCCTGCAACCCAGTCATGTGCCCTTGACTAGAATCGAACCCAGGACCTTTCAGTCCACAGTCCAACGCTCTATCTACTGAGCCAAACCAACTAAAGCTTGACAGGCAGTTCTTAATTCCCAGGTCCAAGGTTGACTCCCAGGTCCTGGGGGCATACAACTCCCATCCAGGTCAGAATGTCCTTTCTTTAACCAACACAAGGCAATCACGGTTAACAGAGCATGATTAATATTTCTCATAACCATAGCTATTCCCCAGTATTCTATTCCTGCCCCTAACGTTTCCCCACTGCTATTCTATCATCTCATATCTATGAGATTAGTTTTAGATGAAAAGTCTCATCCTGCTGGACTGTATCTGCTTCTGCCCTGAAAGCAGTTCCCAGGAATGGAATACACCAAATGCAGGATCTTGGATATGTTCTCTATCAACTGAGACTTGTCAGAAAGATGAAAACAGCACATCCCTTTAAGTCCCTCACAACCAGGGTTATGCTGCAACAGCAATAATCTATGGCTGCCCAATTTTCTAGAACTGCCTCCCTGACCTGGCTCAGCTCTTGATTTATCCCATTTGTAGCCCTGGAGGTGGCCACATTCAGGGCTTTTACCTGCTACAAGCCAGCCCGGCACCTTCTACATTAAGGGAGCCTACCAGTGCCAGCATAACAAACGTGGTCAAAGCAATACAGTCAGCAGGCTCCACAGGTGGAGGCCGTCACTGCAGGCCTTGAGAAACCCTCTTTGGGTTCAGACCCTGTGATGCTTCTGAGGCGTAAAGACAGTCAGCCGTCCTGAGGAACAGGCCCTGGTGCTGTCAGCAGGATAAATAGTTACCCCACATCTCAGAAACCAACCAGCCAGCCGCTTAGTGTGTCCATTACCATAAGGGAGGGTGAGATTGTCAGAACAATTCATATTGTGGTTACTAGATACTGAAAGACAGCAACCAGAACACTCGGTAACAGTCGGTGTGTCCTTCTCTCCCGGGACCTCTTCCAGTTAGTTCACTCTGTCTGACATGGATTTTACTTTTCACATTTCTGACTCCTTCCCTGAAGTAAGCTCCGTAAGGGATGTTTAGGGAACATTAGCTAAATGAATGAATAAATTAAACCCTGGGTGAAATGGGTAAACCAATCCTAACAAAAAATCAGACTTCTTGCTCACTGTACGTGTGACTTTAAAAACCACCTAACTTGGTGAGCTTCTATTTTGCAATTTCAGGCATCTGTGTACTCTGGAGCAGCCGTCGCCAACCGGTGGTCCGCGGACCACTGGTGGCCCGTGAGGTCTGAAAGGTTGGCGACCACTGCTCTGGAGTGTAACGTTTGGATAGCCCTGACACCTCCTGCAGTAAAGATTATGTAAAATCTTTACTACATAAACCACTGTGGGCATATTTGTTTTCTGGGTGTGAGTCAGAGTAGTAACTTGATAGTCAATTTGTCTCATCTTCTAAAATCCACGTGTATAGTTAATATTTTTCTAAAATTCACACCTGCAGTTAATTTTTTCCTATAAACCACACATTTAGTTAATGTTTTTCCAAATGAAAGCTCTAGGTTGGGAAGAAGGATCATTACACCTAGCAAGTTAATGAGCACAAAGAGCAGCCACTTGGGCCTGTAATCCGGGAACTTCCCAAAGCGGCCAGTGTAGGGGAGAGAGTGAGGCAGCGGAGCGCTCCCCTGGCCTTTTCTTGAGCATTTCTTGAACAATTCACTTCCACAACCTGGTTTTCTATTTCCTCATTTTAAAAAGGGGGTGATTTCCCTACCTGTGAGGAGCAAAGAGTTTGGACCATACATCCAGCACCCCAACTTTTAAGACTGTCATGTGAAGGACAGGCCCCAAACCACCTAGTTCTGATAGCCAAGGGGGCCTGCATCCATGAGCCCCATAGCACTAGACCAAAGAAGCAGTTTCTAAATGGGTCACCCAAAGCCATATATATATATTTTCAATGCAATCCTTATCCACAGAAATAAATACAAAATTCACAGAAATAAATACAAAATCCTAAAATTTGTATGAGACAACAAAAACCCCAAATAGCCAAGGCAATCTTGAGGAAAAACAAAGCTGGAGGCACCAGACTTTCTGATTCCAAACTATATTACAAAGCTATGGTAATCAAAACAGCATGACATTACCATAAAAACAGATATATAAACAAATGGAACAAAATAGAGTGCTCAGAAATAAACTCACACATATTGTCACCAATGTCACCTCAATAACTTAAAAAAAAAGCAAACCCACACAGATATAATCAATTAGTTTTTGATAAAGGATCTAAGAATGCAATGGGGAAAGGACAGTCTCTTCAATAAATGGTGTTGGGAAAACTGGACAGCCACATGCAAAAGAATTAAATAGGACCACTACCACCCTAACCGGTTTGGCTAAGTGGATAGAGCATCGGCCTGTGGACTGAAAGGTCCCAGGTTCGATTCCGGTCAAGGGCATGTACCTTGGTTGTGGGCATATCTCCAATAGGAGGTGTGCAGGAGGCAGCTGATTGATGTTTCTCTCTCATCGATGTTTCTAACTCTCTATCCCTCTCCTCTCTGTGAAAAATCAATAAAATATATTTTTTAAAAATAATAATAATTTAAAAAAAATAAATAGGACCACTACCTTATAACATACCAAAAATAAACTCAAAATGAATTACAGACTTGACCTGAAACTATAAAACTCGTAGAAGACAATATAGGGGGTAAGTTTCTATTGGTCTCAGCAATGATGTTTTTGGATTTGACACCAAAAGCAAAAGTAACAAAAGCAAAAATAAACAAGTGGGACTACATCAAGCCAAAAAGCTTCTGCACAGGAAAGGAAACCATCAACAAAATGGAAAGGCAACCTATGGAAAAGGAGGAAATATTTGTAAACCATACAGCTGGTATGGAGTTAATACCCAAAATATACAAGGAAGTACAACTCAGTACAAAATATACAAATAACCCAATTTTAAAAATGGGCAAAGTAGGGGGGCGAGGGAGGTATAAGAGGGTAGAGGGGGATAAATGGTGATGGAAGGAGACTTGACTTGGGGTGGTGAACACATAATGCAATATACAGATTATGTATTATATAATTGTACCCCTGAAGGGGCCTGCGGGGCTGGGGGCAGCTCTTGCATTGAGCGTGTGCCTCCTGGTTGTCAGTGTGTGTCATAGTGACTGGTCGTTCCACTGGTTGTTCCACTGTTTGATTTGCATATTAGGTTTTTATTATATAGGATAAAGCTAAAAAAAAAAAAAGTAAACAAAAAAAGAACAAGGCTTGGCATTAAGTAGGCACTTGACACTACGTACATGGTTCTAGCCAGGGATGAAGTAACGAGGGCTTGGGCCAACTGGAAAAAAGAGTTCAGATGCAAGAAATATTCTGAAGAAGCGTCTTCAGAACTTGGAGAGAAGACCAAGGCAATGTTAAATGTAACAGCAATGTTAAATGCAGACAAGGCGAGAATGCCAGAGATGTAATAAAACTCACATGGCCATAACCAGGTCAGAAGCATAAACAATGGTGAGCCTATACAGGGGAGAGGGATTCACATCACTGTGGGCAGGAAACGCACCCACGGGCCTCAAAGGTTGACAAACATTCTCAAGGCTGAAGCAGGGACACACTTCCTGCTGAGGAGTTGGTATGAGAGTAGGCAGACCAGGCTCCTGGAGCCAAGGGTTTCCATAGGACGGTCCCACCTGCTGAGCAGACGGCCCGGCCACAGGGAGAGGAGGGCAGGTTTCCACCCTTCAGTTCTTCAGGCCAGAACTAAGGCTCTGGCTATTTTGTATTGATAACAACCACCCCAAACCCACAGGCTTATCAATAGATTTCTTTCTGATACAAGCTACCTTCTTTTGAGAAGCATTTCTAGAAAAAACAAAAAGCATCACATGATCATGGCTTTAAGACCATTTAAAAAGAGATCCGTTTCCTCTTCCTGCAAGCAGCCCGAGGTGAGCTCTGAAAACGGTTCGCTAGATCCAGAAAACCTCACAAAGTCGTGCAAATCATGCAAACTGTTTTTTAAAATATATATATTTTTATTGATTTTTACAGAGGGGAAGGGAGAGGGGTAGAGAGCTAGAAACATCAATGAGAGAGAAACATCGATCAGCTGCCTCCTGCAGGACCCCCACTGGGGATCGAGCCCACAACCCAGGCATATGCCCTCAGCTGGAATTGAACCTGGGACCCTTCAGTCCACAGGCCAACGCTCTGCCAAACTGGTTAGGGCCATGCAAACTCTTTGTGTTCACTTTAAGAACACTAGTGAAACTGCTCAGGCCATCAAGGGTATGCATGTCCGAAAAGCCATCTAGTATCTAAGGATATCGTTTTATAGACAATGTGTGCCATTCCATTGTTACAACATGGAGCTGATAAGTGTGCCCAGGCCAAACAGTGGGGCTGGACACAGGGTCAGTGACGTTATTAGTGCTGAATTTTTGCTGCACATGCTTAAAAACGCAGAAAGTTATGCTGAACTTAAGCGTTTCTTTTTCTTTTTTTAACTTAAGGGTTTAGATGCAGATTCTCTGGCCATTGAGCACATCCAGGTGAGCAAAGCTCCCAAGATGTGGCGAAGAACTTCGCGAGCTCATGGGCGGACTAACCCATGCACGAGCTCTCCCCCATACTGAGGTGACCCTTTCTGAAAAAGAGCAGATTGTTCCTAAACCAGAAGAGGAGGTTACACAGAAGGAAAAAGATATCCCAGAAGAAACAAAAAACTTATGGCATAAAATAAATATTAATAAAAGTTTAAAAAAAAAGGAATATAATGATTGTGAGCTGAGATTGGTTTCATCCACATACACAGTGTCAGGTCAAACACATACCTATGGATTCAACAAGCATTTGGTGAATGGGCGAAGAATAAATGAATGAATGAATGAATGAAAGAAATACCTGAGGCTGCCTTGATTCCTTCAGAGTTCTGGTGCAGGGTGACCAGGATGTGGGCTGGGGGCCAGATGAGCCATCCAGAAAGAGGTCTGTCTTATGGTCAGGTTTTTAAATTCGTTGCAAAAAAGCAGAAGCAGATACCTGCCTTTTGTGGGTCAGCGTTTGCTCCGCCTTGGAGTTCTGTGTGCAGGAGATAGCGTGACCTTTATTTCCCCTGTATCTGATCAAAGAGGCTTTCTGGTGAATGTTCAAAGGACACAGAGACAATAAACATATGTCTGGCCTCAGCAGGGAGGGGTTTCGGGTTGGATCCTTTTCTCCAGTGTTAGTAGCGCCTGTGATGGGGAAGGCACCACTACACCTTTGCCAAGTTTGAAGCCCCTCATGTCGGGGTGCACCAGGCAGAGCCCTTGAGCAACAGACAGGAAGGCCAGGGGAGCGCTCCGCTGCCTCGTCCCTCCCCCACACTGGCCGCTTTGGGAAGTTCCCGGATTACAGGCCCAAGTGGCTGCTCTCTGTGTGCATGAACCCTTTCTAGAGCTGAGGGAGGCAGGGGCAGTCATTACTATTCTGAGAGAGGCCCCGGCCTGGTGGATGCCTATGGGCCTGGGTTTGGAGTCTGACACTGCTTGTCTCCCAGCTGGGTCACGGCAGGGGAGGGGGGCAGGAGGGAGTTATGGACAACCCCTGCCTCTTGCCAACTCAGTCTTACTCTGAAAATGTCAGCCCTCAGTGCTGTGGCAATAGCACCTAGGAGAGGACAAAGGACTGGGGAGAGGGAGCGCGGGAGGGGAGAACAAGGGCGGGGGGGCTGGCTGTGGGGTCCGGGCCAGCACTACCCGGCAGAGGGCGTGTTGCAGGCAGGTGCCTTGACTTGGGGGCTCACAGACAGAACTGAGAGTGTCTGTAAACGTAGTAAGGAAAAAATTAAACCCTGATTTTGACTAACCTCTACCTACCATTTAGATATTTCTTCCATTGAGAACGTAGGCCACAAACCATCGTGTACTAGAGAACCTGTCACTGTGTCACAACTAGAGTCACAGATACTTTCATATTATGTTACAGTTGTTGCAGAGGTCTTGAAATTTCACTTACATTCATCACTTTTTCAACATTACAGCCGTGATGGGCCAGTGTGACTCAGTGATTAAGCACCAACCTATGAACCAGGAGGTCACGGTCCAATTCCAGGTCAGGGCACATGCCTGGGTTCCAGGCTCATTCCCTAGGAGGGGGCGTGCAGGAGGCAGCCGATCGATGATTCTCTTTCATCATTGATGTTTCTATCTCTCCCTCTCCCTTCCCCTCTGAAATAAAAAAATATTTTAAAAAATCACAGCCATTATTAGGCCTACTGCTAGATCTTGGCATTTAATGCATGAATAAAGTAGCATTTATTTCCCATATCATAAACATGTTTATATTTTGATAACTGTATTTCCACATGAGTAGTTCCCTCTAAGGTCTGTGTGCTTGTTTTATGCATTAGAAGCATCGTTCTGAGAAGCGTCCATTGTCGCTTCACCGTCCTGCCTGAGGAGTGAGTTTATGGCCCACCGACAGGCTAAGAACACAGAACTCCAGCCAAACCCAGCCAGCAAAGGGCCGGTTCTGAAAACACCAGATTTGTGGAGTTCCATTTCAACATCCTTTTCAGAAGACACAAAGCCTTTTGTTGCTGTGTGTTGCCCTGGGCCAACTTAGAACAGGATGGAGCCAGGGAGAAGGATGGGAGGAGGGCCTTGGAGACCTAGAGAAAAGGCCAGGGCTGACGCTCCCCACCCCCATCTCCAACACACTGTACACCGATCTCAGCACAGAGATCTCAGCATGTACGTCAGAGCTGAACCAGCAGCGGCCTGAAGACACCAGGCCCTTCCTTAGGTGTCTCTCACTCCGCCATCAGCTGGCTCCTTCCTGCCTGTTCCTCACCCCTAACACCTGCCGGGAGCTGCCCCGCCTATTGACAAACTCCCCCAGGAAGGTCTGCTGCTATTTGATCACTGAGTGTCTGAGCCAAAGCTCAGTTCCAAACATCCACTTGAACTTTGCGGTTTCCCTGTTTCATTAAGAAGACTGGCCACGTGTCAAGGACATGTTGACTCTGGAGCCACCCCATTTCTCTAAGTCGGTCCTGGGGGTTGGAAGGGTGTGGGCAGGAGTGAAGAGGAAGGGGTGTGGGCCAGAGGGGAGAGGCTGTGCTGGCAGCTGTCTGCCCAGGGACCGCCCTGGACGGCCCCCTCTGGGGACTGCCAAGCTGTGGGCCTAGGGCTCCGGCACCGGCACCGTGTCTGCTGCACCAGGAAGACTTCCCTAGTTCCCCGGCTGATGTGTAGATAAGGAGACGTGGGCTGTGTGGGAAGATCACTGCCATGTGGCAGAGCCTCCAGGTTCCGAGCGGAGGTTGGCACAGGGCCAGAAGAGGAGGGAAGAGTGCTCTCTCATTCTTCTTAGGAACCCAGTGCTTTAAACAAAACAGAGCCTAGCCCGGCTGGCGTGGCTCAACGGTTGAGTGTAGAACTACTAGTATGAGCCAGATCCTGGTTCAATTCCCGGTCAGGGCACATGCCCGGGTTGCGGACTCTATCCCCAGTGTGGGGTATGCAGAGGCAGTGGATCAATAATTCTCTCTCCTCATTGACGTTTCTATCTCTCTCTTCCTCTCCCCAAACAAACAAAACAGCCTTGTTCCTGCGCCCCGACCCGCCCCCCCCCCCCCCCATTTACTTGCTGAAGTGCAAGTAGGTGCATTGCTGGTTGGGGGAGGGTGAAGGAAGAAAAGGCCCCCTTGCATGAACCACTCATGGAAAGAACATGGTACCAGCTACTAGGATTCTGGGTCCCAGCCCTGGTTTGCCTCTAGCCCCTGGTTGACCTTGGGTAAATGCCCTTGTCCTAGTGTGCCTCAGTTTCCCCATTGGAAAGTGAACCAACCACTGAAGATCAGTGGATGGGGGATGAAGGAGGAGGCATAGGAAGCTTGAGGAAGGAAGCAAGTAGGTGAGGGTTTGGGAGCTGCGCTCAGATAGGGAGAACTGAGGGAGCAGTGAGGTCTGAGCACGCCTCACCAGGGACAGACAGGACTCTCAAGGTGCCCATGTCCCCCTGATGGAGGTCCTAACCACAGTCCTCCTCCCACTCCTGGGCATGGCAGCCAGAGAGAAGAAGCATCCGGTGCTGGCAGTTCTCCTGCAGCAGAGGAACGAATTGCTAGCTGCAGTCCTACCCAACCAGTCAGAGTCCTGTGTTTAAATGAAAGAGAAGAGGGAGGTAAAGCTTGTTTTTTGGTAGCTTCCATTCATTCATTCATTCACTGCCATCTTTGATAGTTTCCTGCTTCTAAAAATAAAACATGATTATAAAAAATTAAAACATAATGAAAATCTAAAATACATGAAAATGATATTTTCCTAAGATGCAAATTAAAACAATGAGGTACCTTCTCACACCTGTCAGAATGTCTACCATCAACAAATCAATAAACAAGTGCTGGTGAGGATGTGGAGAAAAGGGAACCCTAGTACATTGTTGGTGGGAATGCAGACTGGTGCAGCCACTATGGCAAACAGTAAGGAGTTTCCTCAAAATATTAAGAATGGAACTGCCATTTGATCCAATGATTCCACTTGTAGGAATATATCCTAGCACATTGCGTACCGCATAGAAATCTCGAAGACATACGCCAGGGACCGCACGTTTTTGGGCAAACTGCATGTTATTTAAATCATCATAACTACAGATCATAATGCACTTTAGGTGTTGTTTTTCAATAATTATAACATTTTTATTTACAAAAACAATTAAACAATTAAAGTTCCTAGTACTTTTTTAAAGTATGGTACTGCGTAAAACATTTTCCTCTATGAAGAGGGACCAAACAAAATTTACATAAGTATCTAGATTCACTTCTTTTTCCTTGGGCGGCACAAACTCTGCAGGCTCTCGTAGGAAATTTTTTCTTTCCACTCGCTGGAATACATGTAGGTTCATGCTGCTTCATATCACCTGACAACCTTTTGGATGGATCTTTACGAGGTGCTCTCCTTGCACCCCCAGGGGAAGGGCTGGACAGATTTGTTTCTGGTTCCGAGCCTTCATTATTGTCAGATGGGGCGCGAAACACGAGAAAACTCGTGAGCGGTCCTTAACAGATGGGGCACGAAACACGTGAAAACTTGTGAGCGGTACGCAATGTGCTAAGAAACCTGAAACACCAATCAGAAAGAATATATGCACCCCTATGTTCATAGCAGCACAATTTACAATAGCTAAGATTTGGAAACAGCCCAAGTGCCCATCAGTAGATGAGTGGATAAAAGAACTGGTACATTTACACAATGGAATACTAGTAGCTATAAAAAAGAAGGATCTCTTACCCTTTGAAATAGCGTGGAGGGACCTAGAGAGTATTATGCTAAGCAAAATAAGTCAGTCTGAGAAAGACAAGTATCACATGATCTCATTCATATGTGGAATCTAATGAACAAAACAAACTGATGAACAAAATAGATCCAGAGACATAGAAGCACCGAACAGACTGTGAAATCTCAGAGGGAAGGTGGGGTGGGGGGATGTGGAGAGATTAACCAAAGAACATACATGCATATATGCATAACCCAGGGACACAGACAGATGTCCTGGGGGTGGGGTTAATGGGGGGAAAAAGGGGGACATCTGTAATACTTTCAACAATAAAGATATATTTTTAAAAAACCAACTTATCGTCAGTGGAGAAAATACATAATCTGAGGTAGTAACATTGTTATTATGTAGAAAGTACTATATTAGAGATGGGAATGGAGGGCTTCCTGGGAGGAGAGAACTTGGAGCATGTAGCACCATGGAGTGTGTGTAAGGGAATCATAGTTTCCATTTGTAGGATATAAAGTGCAAACTTGAGAGTAGTAAGAAATAAGGCTTGAAATGCAGGGAGTTCAAGAGGGTCCTGGGGACCATGCTAAGGACCCTGGGACTCTACCGAGGTGATGGGGAGGCATGGGGAGCTCCAGCAAAGGAATGACATGTCAAGGTTTGCCATATGGAGGGGGTTCAAAGGGAAAACTAATTGGATCATCAAGGATTCTCATAGACCAGATGGAGCAATCTAAATGGTCAATAGTAGAGAAACGTTTAAGTGAATTTTGATAACCCACACAATGGATTATTATCCTGTTATTAAAAATCACGTTTGCAAAGACTATTTACCCCTCCTTTTTATCTAACATGCTGGGTATCCAGCAAGACCTCAATTTTCTATTTTAAAAAACTATCAGAAAAAGCAGTAAGTGCCCAGCTGGCGTGGCTCAGTAGTTGAGTGTCAACCTATGAACTAGGAGGTCACGGTTCAATTTCTGATCAGAGCACATGCCCAGGTTGTGGGCTTGATCCTCAATGGGTGGTGTGCAGGAGG